GAGCAGGGAGCCCGATGCAGGACTCGATCCCGGGACTCCAGGATCATGACCTGAGCCGAAGGCAGTCGCTTAACCAACTGAGCCACCCAGGCGCCCCTCTCGGTGACATTTAAGTGAGGGTATCATCGATGCACAAAGCTGGCCCGACTGGTAGAATTCTGTGGATCACTGACACTGTTTTAACTGCTCTTTTAAGGTGAATATGCAGGTTTTGATGAGATGCAGCCAACCGCCGAATCTGGTGGGAAAGGAAAAGTGATTAAACTTTTAAAGGACAAATTTCAATTTAAGAAAATAGTCATGATTGGAGATGGAGCCACAGACATGGAAGCCTGCCCTCCTGCTGTATGTATCGAGTGTGCTGGTTTTTTCTGGTTGTGTTTTTGTTTTAGACGGCTGATTTAGAACTCCGTAAGATTGGTGACCGTTAAACGAGAACATCTAGGTATCATTGTAAAAAACCAAAACAAATAAAACAACTTCAATCTTAGCATGTCAGCTGACTTTTTGCAAACCTAAGGAAGAAAACCACTTAGAACTTTATGACCCTGTTCCTGCCACCTCTCAGCCCAGGTGTGAGCTCCAGGTTCGGCTTTACTTCCCCAAACAATACCACAAATAATAAGACAGCTCTTATAACTGTAATCCAAATCTTAATGTCTTTATATATATAAGATTTTATCATTTGAGAGAGAGAGCATGCACGTGCATGTGAGAGAGAGAGAGCACGCGGCGGGGGGGGTTGAGGGGGAGAAGCAGACTCCCCGCTGAGCAGGGTGCCCGACATGGGACTCAATCCCAGGACCCTGGGATCGTGACCTGAGCTGAAGGCAGACGCTTAACCCACTGAGCCACCCAGGTGCCCCTGTCCTTTTTATATTTGATAAAGTATTTCTTCATACATTATCTTCTCCTTGTTACTGATTAGGGAACTGAGGCTCATGAGGTTTGATAATGTGCCTGTGTTAAAACATTTTGTTCTTCTGAGTGAATGCTCTTTTCTGAGACTAGCAGGAAACCCAGGCTGTATAGCAAGTGTCCTGAATATCAGATGTGCCCCTTTCACGAAGGACTTTGCCCTTATCATCTCATCCTAAAGAAAAACTGAACCAAAAATATAGTGGTGAACTTTTTATTAATTTCCTGAGATCTAAAAATAGTTGTCTCTGTAAATGATTAACCCAGAGTGGTTAAAGAATCTTTGGATCCTTTTAACTGACTTGAGTCAATTCAAGGTAAGACATCTTTAGATGATTTACAACCCACATTGGGGTTGACTAAGTCACAAAAGCTGGGCTAGTTTAACGAGGAGTGTGTGGAAGGAAAGGATGCTGAGTTCTGTCAGGGAGCTGCTCATCCTGATGTCAAGAAATGACAAAACTATAAATTCCAGAGGACCCTAGCAGTCATCAGAAGATGACATGGCCTGACTGAACCAAGCGCGAGGATGTGCATGCAGGTGTGTAGCCCTCAGAAGTGGGCAGAGGAATGAGTGATCTGGAGGAAGGTCAGCAGCCACCGCGTGAAGGCCTGGCAGGACCGAGGGAGGGGGGCCTGGCAGGACCGAGGGAGGGGGGCAGCAGAGCAGAGTGGGGATGTACTAGGTACGGACCTGGGCCGGTCAGGGGGCAAGACCCGGCAGGAATGGGCTTTCTCTTCAGCGACTGCTGAAGACTTTACGTATCAGGCACTTGGGTGTTCCCGTTAGGTCGTGGGGAGCCCTGGAAGGCTTCTGGACAGAGAAGGAATGCATCAGTGTGTTGGGACAGCTGAGTTGATGGTGCATGCAGAAAGGGCTGCCACAGAGGCAGGAAGCTCAGTTAGGAGGCTAAATTTAACTGGAAGGTCAGAATCTTGTTATTTTTGCCCCCTAGTGTGGTCTGAAAACAAAAATGAAGAGAAAAGGCAAGTAAAAGGATTTTGAATGTCCATATTAGGTATAATGTGCCTATATCCTGGCAGAAAAAGAGAGAATACCATTTAAAAGATCAAAAAGAGAAAATACCATTTAAAAGAAGGTATCACTTGGTAGAAATTCAGGAAACAATGTAGACGTAACATTAAATAATTTTAATGGTGGAAAGCTGGAGTGCTGCTGGCAGATGGTGGGGCTGTCATCTCCTTCGGCCCAGAACAACACCCTCCCTGGCAGGGAGGTCCGTCAGATTCACACAGGGCACCTGTCAGGAGATGCCTGCTCTGGTCCTGGTTCTAGGCGCAGTGGGACTTCAGCTGCACCCCAGGCTTCTCTTTCATCTTCCCTCTTTGAGATTGCCTGGCTGGGCCTGCATCCAGTTGAGAACTAAAGACATTTACCACCTGATGGAATTTTATCTTTGTAAGCAATTTTATTGGTTTTAAAGGGGCTTGATTTCTCCTGGAAGCCTGCAATTGTCCCCAGCCTGAATGGATTTGCAGCGTGATGCACTGACTCATTCATTCTTGGGACAGGGGAGGCAAGGAGGCTCCCAGGGAGCTGGGGGGGCACCCCCTCGAGGCTCGGCTTTACCTCTCTTTGCACAGTTTATTCTTTCAAATAACACTTACTGCCCCAGGTGCTGCTGTATCTTTTTTTTTTTAACTCCTTTTTTTTTTTTTCCCTCTTAGGATGTTTTCATTGGATTTGGAGGAAATGTGATCAGACAACAAGTAAAAGACAATGCAGAATGGTACATCACTGATTTTGTAGAGCTTTTGGGAGAACTGGAAGAATAATATCAATTTTTATACGGTTCATAACAACTTCAGGTTAATTTTTTAAAGTTACACAGTTTGATACCGTTTGCTTACAATTGCCTATTACAACTTAATGTATAGATTTGGTACTGATTATCTGTACTTCCAAGTAAACTATGGAAAATTGCTCTTTTTTAACTGCAGTCCCAGCATTAATATGGCCATTAATTACCTGGAGAGTTTTATAATCTGAGTTCTTTATGTATTTTCCTAGCGATATTTTATTTGAAACCTTTTAAAGGTGGATAGTAAATGAAACACCTTCCCTATTGGAGATATGGGTTAGGCAGCATTAAGTGAATGTTGGTTTTCCCTTTGGTAGGTAAATAAAAGTTCATCCATATATCAGTACAGATTGGTGCCTTGTCACTTTCTGCCTATCGTGATTTCAATATCAAGTATTTCAAGCACTTTCAGTGTTTGAGTAGAAACAACCTCCAGGCCAGGAACCAAGGAGTTGGAGACCCCACCCTGCTCACAGGGCATCCTGCTGGTCACCGCGCAGCCCCCACCAACCCTCACACTGGGCCAGAGGGCTGGAGATGCTTTCTTAGCTCTTGGAATTTGTCATATTGGCACTGTTACAAAGGCTTTAAAAAAATGGAGCCTTAAACAAAAGTAGTGACCTTAAAGAATGGGCAGTCGTTAAGCGTCTGCCCTCGGCTCAGGTCATGGTCCCAGGGTCCTGGGATCGAGCCCCGCATCGGGCTCCAGCCCCGCATCGGGCTCCCTGCTCTGCAGGAAGCCTGCTTCTCCCTCTCCCACTCCCCCTGCTTGTGTTCCCTCTCTCGCTGTCTCTCTCTCTGTCAAATAAAATCTTAAAAAAAAAAAAAATGGGCATTTGATAATCACATGAAGTAAAAGAACTAAAAACACATTTTACTCATCCCAAATGAGTTTCGCCTTAAATGAATTAAGAAATACCTCCTAAGAGCCTATATGAACCATTCTTTCTTAACAGAGGACTTGGAAAGACCTGAAAGCCAGGTTTGTGTTTATTTTGTGCAGTGCCAAGAAAGAGAAATTTCAGAACATGCTTCGAAAGTATGCGGTTATATACCCTCCCTGGCAGAAAAATGGGGGAGGATAAAGCACAGGTCTAGGGAGAGGCATGCAGTCGACAATTTGGCAGAAAAGGCCGGAAGGGTTTAACACAGGAAATTACTTGAAAAACTTATAATTCAACCAAATAATCAAATTTGGTCAAATAATCAGGTAATTATGTAGCCAAATAACCAAATCAGATGAATCAGAGTTCCTTCCAAATCCGAGTTGCGGGCGGAGAGCCGTGACAGGTGTGGCAACGTTTAAACGAGACCCCACCCGACGAGGCGGTGAGGATGCTTGCCGGCAGCTCGCCCGCACGCCGTTCCGGGGCTTGGGCCCTTGGAGCCGAGCCGAGCTCCGGGCGGGCCCGCGCGGGCCGCCTCTGCGGAGGGCTGCGCACTGCCGTCCCCCAGGGACCCAGCGCGGGAGCGGGAGCGGGAGCCGCGGGCGGTGGGCGGAGGACCCAGGAGCCTTTGGCCCCTAATGCTTCCGAGGCCGGCCTTCCCCAGCTCAGCGGCCCGGACAGGCGGTGCGTACTGGATTTGGCTCGGAGGCGTCCGATCGGCCGGGAGACCGCGTGCCCACGTGGAACCTCTTCAGCCGGTTACACAAGCGCTCTTGGCCACGGCGAGCAGCGCGCACAGCCGCCCCTCTGTCGTGTTGGCGTGAGTCTGGAAGGACGCCAGCACTGCGCGAGCGTCTTCCACGCTTTTCGAATTCTGCGCTCACAGCAAACAGCCACGGAACGGCCCTCCCGAGAGTGCCGGACGTGATGGTAATAGGACAGGAGGCAGAAAGTGTCGGCAGTGTGATGCGGCTTCCTGTCCTTGTGACGTCATTTTTCATTCTGATGACGCACCCTGCTTATGTAAACAGAGAAAGGTAAGACTTGGGGTCGTAAAGTTAAGAACTGAAGTTTTTCGTGGTATTAAGTTGAGACGGTACAAGTCCCTCAAAGCTTTTATCTGCTTAAAAAAGAGAGAACCCCATGGCATTTATCTCCTACGCCAGCCCCCTTCTCTGGTTTGCTGTTACGATTCTTCTCTCTCTTCTCCTGGAGACAAGTGTTTCGCCATGACTCCTAGGGCGGACCCCTGGGCTGTCACTCCCAAGAGCTGGGCAGAGCATCCCAGACCTGGGGCAGGAGCCTTGGAGGATTCTAGAGGATTCCAGAGATTCAAGTGGTCGGCCTCAGTAAATGTGGGCACCAACATAATGGCTTTGGCCTCTGTGACCCTCAGGATCCTTACGATCAGGTTCAGAAAACCTGGGCGGTGATCTGGCCACATGTCACACTGCTTACTTTCACATTTCCCAGGTGTTTTCACATGTCCTCATGTGATTCTCACAACCCTGAGGTCAGCAGTATAGATATCACTGTCCTCTTCTTAACAGGCAGCAGCAAGCTCACAGAAGTTAATGACTTTCAGAGCTGGAGCTCGGGCCAATGACTTCCACAGCATTCTTTATCGTGTGCGTTACTGGAGAGTTAATTTACTGGGGCCAGGAGAATCTACCGTAAGCTAACACTTAACACTATGATCACAGGTGTTAATGTATATTAATGCAGTAGATGAGATTTTATTCCCTAGGTTGGAAGACCTGTTTCACACAATATTCAAGTGGTTTCATTTTTAATGGTCATTGAACTCTGCAAAAAGTACTAGTTTTAGCACTAGTTAAGAGAGGACCATTCAGTACTTTGCTGATCAGTTTCCACCTCTAAACATATTTTGATGTATGTTTATTATTCTCCTTTTGAATTGTTTTTACTGAGTTTACCTAGGCATGTATCTTAATTTCCAAGGATCGCTAGAACTTGCATCAAAAATAGTATGAATAAAGACAGTGCCCTGCTTTCTGAGAGCCTCATGTATTTTCCAGTTGGAGCTGACAGTCTCCATACTTTCTCTTTTAAGATTTTATTTATTTATTTATTTGAGAGAGAGCACATGAGAGGGGGTTGGGTCAGAGGGAGAAGCAGACTCCCCGCTGAGTGGGGAGCCGGATGTGGGACTCGATCCCCGGATTCCAGGATCATGACCTGAGCCGAAGGCAGTCGCCCAACCAACTGAGGCACCCAGGCGCCTTCCATATTTTCTCTTTTCTTATCTTCCCTTTCTCCCTCTCTCCATTTACTTTCCCCCTCCCTTCCTTCTGTCCATTCATCAAGCACATTATTGAACATATGTGTCCCAGCCAGAAACTGAAGGTATCAATTTAATAAATACAATGTGGAACTGAAGAAAAGGCTCTTTCACAGGCAGCCATGGTATGAATAAGGGGGAAAGAAATAGGTTCTGTCAAATGTTGGTTTTAGGAGAGCAAAGTGTGGGTCCTAGAGGGCTTTTAAAAAGAAGTAGGGATGATATCACATAAATGATAATTAAAAATGAGTGGGCTTGTGCAAGTAATATTCACCAGACTTACACCCAACAAATGGAAAATGAGTTTGGAAGTTTTGAATATTCCTAATGAAAATTCGTAGGACAAAATAATACAATTCATTCTTCTATGGGCATTTAATAAAAGGATTTGACAAATTGGGCAGGAATTGGTAAAATAGTGATTATTTGATAAATTAGCATAATGAGAGAATGTTCTTGTAAGTCACCGAGTGACCGCCTTGTTACTCAGTTAGTGGTCAGTTTTCAGACCTCCTCTATCCCAGTCTTGCAGCAGCATTTGACACGGGTGGTCTCATCCTTGATGGACTTTGTTCACTTAGCTTTCATGACATCCCACTTCCTTGAGTTTTTTCCTATTTCCCTGATGGGTTTTCACTCTCTTCCTGGCTCCTCCTTACCCTGGCTGTCTTCTCTGTCTACACTCACTCCCCATAAGACTTTAAATTCTATATGCAGACAATTCATAAATGCCTATCTCCAGGTGAGACTGCTCTCCTAAACTGCAGAATTCACATGTGCCTACCTGATATCTCCACCTGGGTATCTGCATAGACCATCTCAAACTCAGTATGAGCAAAACAGTTCCTGATCTTCACTTCCCCAGATCTGTTGCACCTACTCCACCTACAGCCTTCCATCCTTCCAGTTGTGGAGGACAAGACTTCGGTCACTTGATTTTTCTTTCATTCACATTCCGCAATCATTCGTTCAGGAAATCTTCTTGGCTCTGCTGTCAAGATAAAATCAGAATTTCACCATTCTCCCTACTTCCACTGCTACCCCTAGTCCAAGCCACCATTTAAAATGTAAGTCAGATCATGCCCTTCCTCTGCTCAATACCTTCCAGTGGATCCCATCTCAAAGTAAAAGTCAAGGTCCCTCCAGGGGCTCCCAGCACTCTACTGATCCAGCCCCAGGACCTCTGGCTTCCCCCACCAAGTCCTCCCTCTCCTGTTTCAGCCACTGGTCTCCACCGCTCTAGTGCATGCCAGGCATGACCCTGCTGTAGCCATTCCCTCAGCATGGTGGGATTCCCTTCCAAACGCTGGCTAACTTTGTCACCTCCTTCACGTTTTTGCTTAGATGTCAGCTTTTCAGCGAGGCCAACTCTGACAATACTGCATACCGCCTCTCGCAGCCCACCCTTAGGTTCCTGATCTCCATTACCCTGTTCTACCTTCCCCCACTAGAACACGTATCAACTTCTACCATATCATGTAACTTAAGGGTATTTTATATTTTAATTGCTAGTCTCTTCTCAACTGGACTGTAAGCTTCACAAAGGCAGGGATCATGTTTTGTTCATGATGTTATTCCCTGTGTCTGATGCTTGGCACTAACAGAAACTCAGTATTTGTTGACTTGAAGGAAGACTAAAGCCTAGCGTGAGGCAGGCTGCTTTGTGAAATCCAATGACTTAATTGGGACAGAAATTCCTCTTCCTAGAGTAGGGTATATTCTGAAAGAGCTCCATTTTACAGTCAGTTTGTTGCTCTGTGCTTTTCTGAACAGAAAGCTCCTTTAAGAAAGCAACACAAAAAGAGAAAAGCAAAGTTTCTGAAAGAAAACCTCATTCTTGCATATTCTGTTTGGCATCTGGACATCATGGTGCTCACCAACCGAATGGCCCCTGGATAGGGAGTTGGGTGGATGATGCAATTTAGAGAGCCTCATCTAACTCATCCACCAACTGTGAGCTCAGTTGTGAGGGTTAATTTTATAGGTCAACTTGATGGCCTAAGGGATGTCCAGGTAGCTGCTAAAACATTATCTCTGGGTGTGCCTGTGAGGGGTGCTCCTGGAGGATTAGCATTTGATTCAACAGAATGAGTATACACATCCTCCTCATCGATGTAGGTGGGCATCTGATCCATTGGCGGCCCAAGCGGAACAAGGCAAAGGAAGGGCAAATGTAGGCTGTCTGCGTGAGATGGGACGTTCATCTTCTGCTCTCAGATACTGGAGCTAGCTCCTGGTTCTTGGGCCTCTGACCTTGGACTGGGAGTTAAACCATCAGCTCTCCTGATTCTCAGGCCTTTGGACTTGGGACAGAATTATACCATTGGTTTTCTTGGTTCTCTAGCTGGCAGATGGCAGATTCTGGGACTTCTTGGCTTCCATAACCATGAGCCAATCCCTGTCTCTTCTTATGCATATCTTATCTAGATATCCTATTGGTTCTGTTTCTCTAGAGAACCTTAACGCCCCAGTGAATGATAGAAAATTCCGGACTTCTGCAGCGTTCAAGTCCACACAAGTTGTAAGTGAAAATTCCCTCCGTTCCTAGCAATTTTTTCCCAGTTCCGAATAGCTAGATCACCAGTAAAGCTAATTCACCAGTAATACTAATTCTACCATTTTTCTTTATATAGTGTAGAAAGCAGTTTCATATAAATAATTCATTCACATCCTACAAACATGCTCTGAGCATCCAGTCAGTACAACTGCTAAAATGCAGGTCTTCTATGCTGGAGCTACCCATCCCTCCTGCTTCCCATGGCACTAAGGAGTTACAAAGATTCAGAGCTGAAGGGATGTTAAATGCCATCGGATTCCACCTCCCCATTTTATGGATTCAGGGAACTGAACACCGAAGATGGGAAGTACCTCGTCAAGGAGCAGAGCCTGGACTTGGAAGCGCTTGTTCTTCTACCAGCTGACCCAGCCCCCCAGGCCCCAAGCCCTGGTACAAACACCCGGTCCTCAAAACACTTCGCTAAATGGCTAGGGGGACGCTGAGGAGCTTTCTTAGCATTTTGCTCTGTAGACTCACATATGCCCACTCAGCAGGGACAAGCTGTTTTTCAAGAGGGACAGGGTCATTTTCAGCACAAGTTCAGTAAAAAAAAAAAAGATTGCAAACAAGTAATATGTGAAAATCAAGAGGATTTTATTGATTTTTATAGGTTCTTGGAGAAAACCATTCACATGTAAAAGTTTGACATTTGCTATGAGATTTATTCACACTTTATTTTACACATAAATCCTTTAATTTGGGGGTCAGACATAAGTTTTCACTTCAACGGGACTTTCACATGATGACAGTCACAAAATAGGCACACTGTGTTAAAAAAACTAAATCAAACAGAGCTAGACAAAGTATGCAATTTATTCCAACTTAAATCTCAACATGCACCACCCCTCATACATGATCTTGGAAGTATCTGCTATGAGCTTACTAAAACATTAACTACAGAATGTCTGAGGTCACAAATGATTGTTTACAAAATAAAACCTCTTTTCCTAATGCTACTCATTTTATTATAGAAAAATATTACAAATAAAAATTAGTGCTATTCAAGGTGTTCATTTCAAAATCACATATGATACACGGTTCAAGCCATTATTTCCCCTCATATCGAGCTATCACAATACACTATGTAAAGACTGAATTACTGAATAAGTGTACCTTAGCAACCACCACCAGCTTAGTAATGACATGTCGTTTACTATGCCAACTGATTAAAAATGAGAGTGAATTAAAACATTTCAGGTATTGGGTAAGCTCTTAATTTGTTCCGAGTCTGAGGCTCAGAAAAATTGCTAGAGTAACATGACAAAATTTATATTTCTTCCTGATACAAGAAATTTGTCTAAAAATCTGTAACTATAAAACAGATTTGCTTTTTATAAAGAAATTGCTAACTTTTTTTTCATGGTTAGGTTCCTATTTGGAGAGGATTCAAATTTTAATTTGGGCCCTCTTTTCCCAGAGGGTGGAGAAGGGTGCCTGGTAGTATAAGGTGTATGCAACTAACATAGGGATGTTTCAAAGAGGACTACAGAGCACTGTTACAATCCAACTCTAAGTTTCCTTCTTGTGATTATGTAAATTTTAAAGAAAAGAGGTCTCTCGTAAGCTATATACAGCAGTTTACACTTCAGTGTTTCTTTTTCACTTGATATACAATTAAAATTAATTTATGACAAATACTTGTCACATAAATTTATGTAGGCACATCTAAAATCTGTTTACTGGAGGGGTGAGGTCTTCAGTGGGATCATGATTCTGGATTCCATTTCCTGAATAAGTGGGACTGAAAACAAGGATCAAGATTATTGTGCTTGTTCTTTTCTACACAGATTATGGTAAATGTACAGTAACAAACAGGTTGCTGAGAATGTTCAGAAGACATGCTGCTTGGAATCAGAACAGAGTACCGGAAAACAGAGAACTGATCTCAGTGACAGAAATATACAAGCTAATGGTAGATCAGTTAACATCCCAGGAGATGTTTTTAAAATTAAAACAGATTCTATCTGGAGATCTGTTTCACTTGTCGGAACTTAGGAAAGTCCACGTTGTAACAAAAGTGGTGCTTTCTCAAAAGGTTGAGAACTCTGAGCTAAAATAAAGTTATATAAAATCAAATCAGACTGCATGTGACTGGATAACCAGCACTTCTAAAACTCACTGCTGAGTCAAATACGCCTCTGGGAACTGATGAACATGTAAGAATAAGCAGCCAGTCACATACAATTATATGATGTTTGGAACTAAAAGACAAGATAATACTTATTTTCTGGAACAAGTAGTATACGGGCTTAAATGTACCTGACATGCCACATGATTGGTACTTATTACTGTGTCAGTATTACTGGGTTGTATTCAGCCCAATTGTTCTTATAAAAATCAAGCCTCCAGGATTTCATAGTATACGTGTACATGGCTATCCATGCCCATGCATACACATGTACACACCGAAAGTCAAAATGTCAAATTAATTTTCAAAATTACTTTTTAATTGCTGTATTATAATGTTTTGGGGAATAGATAACTTTGATGAGAAAGGGAAAGCTTAGAAAAAAATTGTGTAATAAATATTCAGAGAATATAGAAAAGTACAAAAAAAAGTAATGATGGAAAATTTCTAACATACAAGTGTCTGAAAACTGTACCAGACAATATACACACTTGCTATTTTTTTTTTAAGATTTTATTTTTAAATAATCTCTACACCCAACGTGGGACTTGAACTCACAACCTTATGAGATCAAGAGTCACACACTCCACTGACCAAGCCCACCAGGCGCCCCACACACATACTTGAAAGAATGAAATTTCCTTATTGAAAAGAAGGCATGTAACTATTAAGGAAAAATCTGACTATTCTCCATCCCCCCAACCTTATGATTCACCATCCTAGAGCAACATACTATTTAACAACAACAACAAAAAACCAAAAAACATATTAGCCTTGGGGGGAAAGAACATAAAACAGTAAGATGAGAAGAATGACAGATTTTATGTTTATGAAAGTATTACCTGTATAATATACCAATTCTTCCCAGCCATGTTTATGCCATGCTGCATTCCGTATATCTTCCCTGGTTTGAAGATCCTTGTAAGCTGAAAAAGAACCACACAGAAGCAAGGCTTAAACCCAACAAAATGTCCTGCATTCCACTAGTATGTCCATCAAGTCAGCTGCTCAGCTAGTTTTCTCAAAGAGACCACTCTGGGGATTTAACAATAAGCTGAGATCACTGTGAGCTGGTCACTCTGAGCAAAATTATGTTAGGCCTTGTGAGAGAAGCAAAATAAACAACTCTTTAAATTTGAAAATCTAGTGGATCCAAGATCTACCTTTCAAACCAAGTGAATTTCTTCAATAACACGTTAAATTCATAATCAGAAACCGTCAGACTACAGATAAGCAATATTCGATTCCATTTTGCTCAACATTTCCAAAGCACTACAATGATGTGCATGACAGGCCGTGTTCAATGCAGTGGAGAGCAAAAAGACAAGTGAAGGCAAGGTCAGCCCCTGCTGAGCACTGTGGTATATTTGAGAACAAAGCCCACAAGAGCACGGAGGAGAGAGAGCTGTCTGGAGGGTGTGATTTGACCAGGTGGGTCTCGAAGGTTGCAAAGAATGTCGACAGGAACAGAAGAGAAAGCTGCTCCAGGTGGAGAGAAGAGCATGGTCAAAGCCATCAGAATCTTCGGTGTCATGTGGTACAATTCAGGTACCTCATCTGGGTGCCTTGGTTTCTGATTCCCAGCCTAGGCAACCTCCTTCCAAGTTCTCACCAGGGAAATACCTCCTAGGCATCTTGACAGGGGGTCAGTCAAGACAAAGACAAGAATCAGGGCTTCTAGTTTCTATTCTGGGACACACACCTGTTCTCCACAAGACTTCCTTTTCCTGATGAGAAGACCTACCCTTGTAGGCCTAGGAGTTTAACCATCTAAAGTTTCCCTCAAGTAGTAAAGGAATATACATTTATTACATGCAATTTTGAAGATGCTGAAAAACAGAAGGAAAACAAATCTTGTACCTCTCACCACCCAGAGCAAAACACTTAGCATTAACGTGACAAGAAGCAGCATTCCAACTGAGGTCAGGTACATGGCAGGTGCACTGTGTGCTGACCCCTTGCAGGGAACACAGGTTGGGGAGGGCTGTGTTCTTATTTTTTCATTTCAAATTTTAATTTTCTTAATTAAAAATTTATTATTATGGTAAAATATGCACAGCCAAATTAACTATTTTTTTTTAAAGGTTTTATTTATTTGTCAGAGAGAGCGAGCACAAGCAGGGGGAGCGGGGCAGGCAGAGGGAGAAGCAGACTCCCCTCTGAGCAAGGAGCCCAATGTGGGACTCGATCCCAGGACCCCGAGATCATGACCTGAGCAGAAGCCAGATGCTTAATGGACTGAGCCACCCAAACACCCCAGCAAAATTAACTTTTAACCATTTTATTTATTTATTTATTTTTTAAAGATTTTATTTATTTATTTGACAGAGAGAGACACAGCGTGGGAGGGAACACAAGCAGGGGGAGTGGAAGAGGGAGAAGCAGGCTTCCCGCCAAGCAGGGAGCCCGATGTGGGCCTCGATCCCAGGACCCTGGGATCATGACCTGAGCCGAAGGCAGATGCTCAATGACTGAGCCACCCAGGCGCCCCAACTTTTAACCATTTTAAAATGTACAATTCAGTGGCATTAAGTACATTCACAACTGTCCCCTTCATTATTATCCATCTCTAAAACTTTTTACCATCACAAATTAAAACTCTATCCACTGAACACTAACTCCCCATTCTCCCCGCCCCCTCAGCCCCTGGTAACCTCTACTTGGCCTTGTCTCTATGAATTTGCCTATTCTAGGCACCTCATGTAAGTGGAATCTGATGTTTTCAGGGTTTATCTATGTTGTAGTATGTGCCGGCATTTCACTCTTTTTTATGGATGAATGCGTACGTACCACATTTTGTTTATCTGTTCATCCGTCAATGGACATTTGGATTTGGGGAGGCTTTTATTTTATTATTGTTTTCTGTTAGCGAGGCTTTTAAAGGTGGGAGGCACTTGAGCATATACATATTACTGGGGAGGGAGCCCCTAGATGGGGTGGTGCCGGAGCAAATGGATGGAGCAAGGCCTTGAGGAAGGTGGGGAAGGAGTGGCATCAAGTGCGAGGGTAAAAGGAGAGGTGCTACGTGCTAGGAAGACCTGCTTTGAAGCCAGACACGCCCAAGTCTGAGCCTGGTTCAGTGACTCGACAGCTGCAGCTTCTAAGTGATTTATTTATCATCCATGAGTCACAGGTACCTCACTGTGGTCTGTGGTTGTAGGGATTAAAGAGAATGATGCTTAAAATAACCAACACACTGGAGGTGCCTGATCAGTGTGGTTCTCTAAAAAGTATGGAAAAGTGAGGCTAAGTTTTTGGGGCAGGCAATTGAAAATTCATTTCTGCATATCTCAATACTTTTTCCTGTAAAGGAGGAAGCAGGCAGTGGACATTTGGGACACTAACTGGGGACAACAAAGGAAGGCAGAGAAAGGCACCGCCTCAGAAAAGACACGAGCTGCAATCTGGTCACTTTCCAAAGCTGAAGCACCACATTGTTCCTAGCTTCTGCGTCTGCGCACGGAGGATGATCTTGGTGGACACCTCTGCATCTTGCTGTTGCTGTGTGAAACCTCAAGTCCTTCCCGCGGGACAGAGTTAAGGGCCTGGGACCCCCTGGTGCCTGCCTGTCTCCTCCTTCACCTGGGAGTTCCCATCCAGACACACTGTAAGCCCTGACATGAGTGCAGTCCCTGCGCTCATGTACAGAGGACGTGTGGGAAGGTGTGCAGGCGCCAAGCCTGAGAGGAAAGTGAGCAAAGGGGACAGGCCTGACTTTTCAGTTTATATTCTCCAGACAGAACACATACTATTTAAAAATAATAATAATAAAAATGATGTCACCCCTACCTCAAACCCAGAAAGGGTTTATGTTTAGCATAATCTCTAAAGGCAGATTTTAAAGATGTGTTTCCAAATCTGTTACATGTGAAAACTTTTCCTTCCTTCCTTCCTTCCTTCCTCCCTCCCTCCCTTCGAAATTTTATTTATTTTGAGAGAGAGAGAGAAGGAGAGAGAGAGAGCACAAGTAGGGGGAAGAGCAGAGGGGGAGGGAGAGGGACGGGAAAAGAATCTCAAGCAGACTCCTTGCTGGGCATGGAGCTGGACCCGGGGCTCGATCTCACGACCCTGAGATCATGATCTGAGCCAAAACCAAGAGTTGGACGCTTAACCGACGGAGCCACTGGGTGCTCCTTGGTGCAGGGTTTTCAATTGCTCACATGCCAGGGAAGCCCTATGTGTGCATCTGAGCTGAGCACCTGGTCGAAGCAGTGACTGATGGGGGTCTCCTCCCCAGACCCTGAAGATTTGGCGGGGGAAAGGGGTTCCCATTCAGACTTAGGTCCCCGGCAGCTCTCCTACCATTTAGCCAGTCTGCACGATTTCATTTTCTGACCATTTTTTATAATCTCCCATTTTCCCATCACTGTTCTGGCCCTTCCTTCCTGCCTTTACCTGCCAAACCATTTAGACCCTATTCACCTTTTACTGATTTCCCCCAGTTACATGTAAGTTTATATCCCCTTAAGTGCTGGGGGTGCCCCTATGTTACTGATCACACACACTGCCTCGTGACAGGTCCCCCGTGTTGGCTTTCCCCTCCTCAGACCGTCACCAGCCTCTGTGCGCCTGCCGTGCCCACACAGCAGGCAGACGGTGCAGCATGGGGTGCGACCGGACAGGCCAAACCAATACCTCGGCTGATTAATATGGTCTAGAAATGAGTTATGCTTTTCATTTTTTAAAAAAGTAGGCTCCACACCCAACGTGGAACCCAATACAGGGCTTGAACTCATGACCCTGAGATTAAGACCTGAGCTGAGATCAGGAGTCTCAGCTGAGCTTCATTTTTTTTAACTTTTTTT